TGTAATAAAAGGAACAAACCTTTTAGATGACAATGAGGTGATAATCAGCACTTGATGCCATGCTTATGAGTTATTTTGTTATTTTAGCCTAATGGCCTGGAAGGTCCTTTAAATCACCTAGGTAGATATAAATTATATGAGAATAATAGAGTAGATCGTTGTTTCCATTGACTTTAAAATAAACTTCAAAGTAAAATAACTTTCTGTATTATGTTGGATTGTTGAATTATGTATTTTTAAAGACGTGGTTTTCATATGCACAATGTTTTTCTAACATATTACAAATTCTTCTTACTCAAAATGTAAAAACATGAAAATAAATACCTTAACTGATCCAGGAGAACTGGCCGAGGAGTCTGTTAATGGAGTAACTAGTCAACTCTGCCCCTGTAAAACTCACCTTTGTTTCTAATGCCTGAGCCATCACTGAAGATTAAAGACCACATTCAAGGAGGGCTATTTCTCATACTTTACCTGCTCATTAAATGCCAAGATAGTTTTTTACTCAATTATACATCTGCCAATGAAAATAGTGAGCAAAGACAACATCAAGGCCATGTTTTCATTTCAATCATTGTTCCCTAGTGAATTACAAGGTTGTGAGTCTCCTACAACAATTTATATTGACCCAGGCTTCATAAATCTACTACAGTAGACTGAGTTGCTGCACTATATGTTGTGATCATGTCTTTCTACTAACAACATTAATCACTTGCTCAAGAGAAAGTAGCAATTCAAGAGTGTTCCATCTCATGCTCCTGTCAGAAAGGACATCTTAACAGAGGGCTTAAGTGTCTCCCTTTCCCATTAGAGGTTTCTATGCTCAGCCTTCTTAATAGGTTTTTCCAGCTCTAACCTATCATTTACTCCTTATTAGACTTTTAAAATGAATAATGAAAATGCAAATAATTACATGTTTCATGAGAGAAATACTGTATAAGCCACAAGTTCTAAAGATGGAGATAAAATTATTAAGAACATTAGATGCATTTGCACATGAAAAATTTATTTTCCCATATATTGATTCACAGTTAGAGATGTGATTGAGATAAAATGACTTTTTTTGTTTTTCACTGTGATAGACTATTTACAACTCATTTTTAAATGAATAATTTTCTCCATAAGGAAGTACTAAAGTTAGCAGGAAACCAGCCAGCACATCTGTCTCTGAAGTGTTCCAAGGTGAAGATATTAATGAGTTGGGTAGATTATGTATCTGACCACCAACATTTGATACAGAAAAAATGGAAGACTATGACTAATGTATGGGAAATGATAGTATTTGATACTACATTACATTACAGATTAAAACAAAACAAAAAATCAGACTACTAAGAATAAAATTAAATAAATGAGATTGTTTTTGGTAACACATATTACAGTTAATACCATTTCTTCCCACTGTTTTAGAGCGTAAACAAAAGCATAAATCATTTTTACTAAAAAATTACTCAAATGCTTTTATGGCCTTTTCCAATCTTATTTTTCATTTGCCCTCCTATAACAGTTATTAGGTAACTCTTAGGGAATATTTAATTTGGTTTACATACAAAAAAATTTAACAAGGTTTTGACTATATTGTAAAATAAGATTTTTATCACTGTTCTCTTGGACAGTATTGGCTAGTCCATAGGACATTTCTTTCTATCTTTTTGATCATTTTCTTAAACTCCCATGAAGTACAAAGTAGGGGACCCATAGTCCCATAGTTTTAGTTTTAATTCTTTTATTTGTTGGTTGGTTTTTTGAGACAGAGTCTCACTCTGTCACCCAGGCTGGAGTGCAGTGGCATGATCTTGGCTCACTGCAACCTCTGCCTTCCTGGTTCAAGATATTCTCAAGCCTCAGCCTCCCAAGTAGCTTGGACTACAGGGGTGCACCACCATGCCTGGCTTCTTTTTGTATCTTTAGGAGAGGTAGGGTTTTGCCATGTGAGTCAGTCTTGTCTCAGACTCCTGACCTTAGGTGATCCGCCCACCTTAGCCTCCCAAATTGCTAGGATTACATGCGTGAGCCACCACGGCCAGCCAGTTTTAATTCTTTATTAAGGGCAAACATGATGGCATTTGATTGGGAAGGAACAAAGAAAAGAGTTCTCAGAATTTACATTTAGTCTTACCAGTGAAGAGCATGTCTTATACTTTCAGATCATGTTCCCATATATTTTTCTATGATTTTTGATAATTTTAGAAAATCACTTAAATAAGAATTTAATTGTGTACAGTTTATCAGACTGATTTATTTCAAATTGCTGGCAGTTTTTATTACTGTTGATAATATTGACTTGCCAGTTATACTGAGTCTGAAAATAGGATGGTCAATTAAACTGATCTATTAAAATATAAAAAATGATTTTTTCCAGACCTTTACACAAAAAACTAAAGTTTTAGTCTCATTTCTGCCACTAACTAGAAGCTTGTAAAGCCCTGAATTCTCTTAGCTTTATCTGTATGATAAAGGCCATTTTAAATGCTACAATCTCATGATGAATACAGAACCAGATTGCTGAAAGATTAGTTCCCTGCTTATTAAGTCATCTTTAAACCATCTGTACCTGGACTACATTTTGCTTACAATAAAATTAAAATGAATCCTTCAGTAATAAAGACATTTAAAGGAATGTTGGATAATACAACACATTGCACTAAAAACAATGCCAATGCTAGTATCATTTTGTACAAATGTAATGCCATATGATAGTAAAACCACTATATCAGTATTTCCTTATTTATGTTGTAAAATAATACAAGTCATAAAAGTACAAAAAATGTAAAGAAGAGGTATGTCCCTCATCATCTTAGAGGCCTTCATGCTATTATTTTGGAGTATTTCCTCCCATTTGTTCTTGTTCAGATACTACTTCATAGTGAATACAAGTTTTCAACATGACTGTTTGTGGAATCCTAATGTATGTTGAAGCATTATCAACTAACTCTTCTTGCACACATAAAAATAATTTAAATCACACAAAATATTTGAAAAGGTTATTTCAGAGAGCAGGTCTTTGACAATTTTTCTTCTCAATTGTAAGCCTGGTTATTTCACAAGGCTAAAATCAAGGTCCTTCAATATGGAAATATCAGCAGGTCTCTGGATACATTTAGAGAGAAATTAAATAGTTAAGTGGAAGGACTGAAGTCGCAACAGACATTTTGAAATTTTAATGTAGAAGATTTTAGTTTTTTTTTCTATAGGTGGCACTTAGAAGAAAAGAGTTAAAACGACTGCCTCAAGCAATGGCGTGGCAATTGCCAGAATATCAAACCCTTGAGTTAATCCATCTTTAAAAAGCTAATCCAATTAGAAAGTGAAGAAAACATTTATTCAAGAACTTGAACCACACTCTTCCTGAATCTTCTTACACTGTCTCCTAGGTGCTAAAGAGTTTTATATCTTCACCTCCAGTGTGGTCTAGCTTCTCATTCCAGGATAGTTCATCCAATCGCCCCTGAACCAATCATTTGGATGGCTCACAGTTACCCCCTCTTCAACATATCTAAAATTGAACCTAGAAAACTTTGCTCAAGCCAGAAAACCAGGAAAACTCTTCTCTTCAAACTCTAAATTCAATCAACTAAATTGTGTCACTCGGCTCTTTAAACATATCTTCATTGATTTCGCTTCTTTCAATCCCACGGTGCCTCCCTGCTTTCAAACCACTATCATCTCTCACCCAGATATGCTATAGTAGTCTTCTGTCTGACCTCCTGGTTTTCTTCTTCCTTTCCAATCCACTTTGCAGTAAGGCAGAGTCAGGGAGTGAAACTAAATGAAACTGATTTAGACTCAGCCTTGATACTCATCTTTAAGTATTTTCTGATTCCAAACAACTGAAAGTGCATTGTAGTGGCTCTCATGAACTAGTTCTTTCCTCCTCAGCACCATCTCTCAGACTTTTAGCCTTAAACTGAAAGCTCCAAACTAACTAAAATACTGTGCTTCAATGAAACATGCCTCTCTTTTTGCATCTCTGTACATGCTTTTGACTTTGCTTGAATATGTTCCACCTTTTGTCTGCCTAATTTCTACTTATCTTTTACTATTATGCCTCAAACTTCCTTCCAAATGTAGACTTCAGTGGCCCCCAAGTCTCGGCCAGATACTCCCTCCTATTTGCTTCCAAAACACCTGCTTCATCAGGGAATGTGCCATACTGCATTGAGATTCCTGGGTACTTGTCTGACGTAAAGGTCAGAATTGTGTCCTTCTAGCCACTGTGCTTCACACCTATATTTTCCAGATTTCTCCGAGTTCTACCATCTATGCACTTTGTCTCCACCCAGCTGGACTGTCCATGGTTTCATGAACCTTGCCTTACTGTCCTTCTTCTCTCTACTAGTTTACCTTGAAGTCACTCACATTTATCCAAATCTTACTTCCTCTTCAAAGTCCAGTTCATTTGGCCCACATTCATGAAGACTTCCCTGATTTCAAAGTGCAGAACTCCTCAGAGCCTCTGTTACAATTGTGTGGCACTTACCGGCCTTGTATGTTAAATGCCTTTTTGCCTGTCTGTTTCTCTTTCTTATAGTATACAAACAGAAACCATATAGCAAATATCTGTTAACCTTATATTCCACCAACTGGCACCAGTACCTGAAAATTAATACCCATTATTCTCCAGGTTTAGAAATTCACATGTCAGATGTACTAACCCCTGCCTTGGTATGTCTCTTCCTGGAATGTCTTCTCTCTCTTTGCTCTGAAATCCATCTATCATTTTCTAGATTTACCTCCATAAAGAGACATTTCAAAGTTTTCATCTTCCAGGGCATCTTCTTAAATTCACCTGTCAGAATCTGATTCTTCTTCTATCCTTCTTTACCTATGCATTTTCCTAGCTTTTTATGTTACTTTTTCAAAATGGTAAATGTATAGATCTCTGATCTAAAGGGGTTGATTGTGTGACTCTACTTCGGGGTGTGGTGACAAATATTAAATAAATAAATACACATTGTGTTAGTCCATTCTCACACTGCTAAGAAACACCTGAGGCTGGGTAATTTATAAAGAAAAGATATTTAATTGACTCACAGTTCCCCATGGCTGGGGAAGCCTCAGGAAACTTATAATCATGGCAGAAGGCAACTCTTCAGAGGGTGGCAGGAGAGAGAATGAGTCAGCACAGGAAAAACTCCCATTTGTAAAATCTACCATTAGATCTAATGAGAATTCACTCACTATCACGAGAACAGCATAGGGGAAACCACCCCCACAATCCAGTCACTTCCTACCAGGTCTCTCGTTAAATTGTAATCTCCCTGAGGATTACAATTTAATGTGACATTTGGGTAGGGACACTAAGCCTAACCATATCAGACATATAGAAAAGCAAATGGTTACAAATGTGGAAAAGTGGTGTGAAGATTATAAACTAGAAGGTAAGGTAGAAAATAACTGGGAAGACTCTTTCAGGTAAGTTCTCAGAGGACAGTTCTCAGGGGACGTCACATGTGAAGTTAGATCTAAAGGACAAGACTTACAGGATGAAAAGAACTGGAAGAGAATTCTGGGCAGAGGGAACAGCAAGTTCTAAGGCTAGGAGGGATTTGATGAGCTTGAAGAAAAAAAGGGAGGCTCATATAGCTGCAGCATGGTGAATGGGATAGGGAGCTGTCTTAGCTTGGGCTGCTATAATGAAATGCCATAGACCAGGTTGCTTACAAATAAGAATTGCATCTTTTTACTCTTCTGGAGGCTGGATGTCTGAGATCAGGGTATAAGTATGGTTAGGTTCTGTTGAGGGCTGTCTTCTGGATTGCAGACTTCTAATTTCTCACTGTGTCCTCATGTGGCCTTTTGTTGGTATGTGTCTGTAGAGAGAGAAAAGGAGAGATCACCCTCTCTTCTGCTTTCTATAAAGCAACCAATTTTATGGGATCAGGTCCCCACCCTTAAGAACCTTATTTAGCCTTGATTACCTCCTAAAAACCCTCACTCCGTATATAGCCACACTGGGGCTGAAGATTTCAATATATGAATTTTATAGGGGGGTATATGAAAAGATAAGGTTAGAAAAAAGAGTGAGATGTATCATGCAGCACCTGGTAAGGAATTTGGATTTTATTTAGAGTTAAAAGATAAAAATATGTATAAAAATAGAAAAATCTCAAGTGTTAACCTAGCTTTCTTTCAGCTCATAAAAAAAGTATTCATTCAGTGTCCACTTATAAAGCTCCCATGCAAGACAGACACTGTGCTCTACTCTAAGATTATAAGGCTAAATCAATCATACACTTTAGCACAGAGGAGCTCACAAATGAGGAAGCATGGAATTGAAAAATATACTTAAGAGGGAAGTTAATATTTTTGATGAAGGGTGTTGGAGCAACTTTGACTCCTGCCTCACAGAATACACAAAAAATGAATTGGAGATAATCATAGACCTAACTGTAAAATCTGAAACTATAAAACTTATAGAAGTAACCACAGTGCAATATTGTCATGGCGTGAGGGTGGGCACAGTTTTTAGACAGGACAAACATGTTTAATATAATGCATTAATTGTTAATTAAATACAATATAATACCTTAGGTTAGTACAAATTAATTTTGGTTTTTGCCACTGAAAGTAATGACAAAAACAGCAATTAATTTTGCACCAACCTAATACAATATAGTACAATGTGCATTACGATTATGATACAATATAATGCAATACAGTCCACAAAGATGAGTAAATGAATACTTCACAAATCATATATCAGAATGCTCCATAAGCACATGAGAAGATACTCAACTCATTAGTCATCAGAGAAATATGATTTAAAACCAGAAAGAGATACCACCATGCACCCACTAGAATTGTTAAGATAAAAATGATTGGCTTATATGAGGTATCTAAACAGATTAGAAAAACAGCTCAGTAGATCCTAATAAAGTTAAACATGTACTTATTCTATAGTCCATCAATTTCACTCCTAGGTTTTTACCCAACATTGAAAAACAAGAATCCATTAAAAACTTGTACATGCATGCCCACAGTAGCTTTATTCACAGTGGCCAATAACAGGAAGCAATCAAATTGCCATCAACAGAAGTGTATACACCAAGTTTATTATATTCACTTGATGGAAAAATACTCAATAATAAAACTCCTGATACATTCAACATCATAGATGAATAACAAAAATATGCTGAACAGATGAAAATAGGCATAAAAGATACAGATGGTATCCTTGTATTTATAAGAAGTTCAAGTATAATCAAACTAATCTATAAAGATAAAAACTGAAAAAAAATTTTAGAGAGTGATGAGGATTAGGAAGTATTGATTGGAAAGAGATCTTACAGGGTAAAGGAAATCTATATCTTGAGTTAGTGTTGGTTACACAGATGTGCTATTTGTTAGAATTCTTTTTTTTAATTGCATTTTAGGTTTTGGGGTACATATGCAGAACATGCAAGATAGTTGCATAGGTACACACATGGCAGTGTGATTTGCTGCCTTCCTCCCCTTCACCCACATCTGGCATTTCTCCCCATGCTATCCCTCCCCGGCTCCCACCCCGACTGTCCCTCCCCAGCTCCCCCAATAGACCCCAGTATGTAGTGCTCCCCTCCCTGTGTCCATGTGTTCTCATTGTTCATCACCCGCCTATGAGTGAGAATATGCGGTATTTCATTTTCTGTTCTTGTGTCAGTTTGCTGAGAATGATGTTCTCCAGATTCATCCATGTCCCTACAAAGGACACGAAATCATCGTTTTTGATTGCTGCATAATATTTGATTGCCACTTTTTCCCAGTCCAGTCTATCATCGATGGGCATTTGGGTTGGTTCCAGGTCTTTGCTATTGTAAACAGTGCTGCAATGAACATTCGTGTGCATGTGTTCTTATAGTATTCTTAAAACTCTACTTGTAAGCTTTGTATATTTTACTATTTTTAAGATATATAAATAAAAAATACATTTACTAGTGAAATATGATAAGGAGCATAAAGGAAGAAATGGGGGGGAAAAGGAATAATTATGGTCTGACTGAAATATAAAGGGATCAAAATTGAGGTCTGTAATTTAATCTGACTCACTTGGAAGCCCATGTTGGGCCCAGACACAGAGGGTTGGACTCAAATGACAATAGTATTTCACTCTACCAGGAGCATGGACCTAGCTCAATGACTGGATATGTCTTAGTTTTTCAAACAATTACCCAATAACTGTCAAAAAATTCTGACCTTAAGACTGAAATTTGTGATGAGGCATGACTCTCCGCATTGGTAGAACACATTGCCTTCGTTAGGCCTAAACTTTGAAATCTGCTAGAAGGGTGGGGAATCTTTAATTTTGGAGCTCATTTCTGTTGTTTTCTGTTGCAGCCTGAGAATGCTAGACCTTAGGCCACAGGGCAAGCCTCATCTGTTTAGCCTTAATAATAAGGGAAGGGCGGTTCGACTTTATAGTCTCTCTGGGAAGGGTGGAGATGCAATTTTTTTTTTATGCTTTGACTTGTTAATTGTAAATACAGGTCAGTGGCTGAATACTAGTTATAAATTCAAAAGCAAATGAAACAAATTACAATGAATAAGTCCAAGACAGCAGAATGAATCGTTTCTAGCTTTTTTTTAGCGGGATGCAGGGAAATAAAGAAAGATGAAGCCTACACAGACCTGGATAAATATTACAATAAGCACTATCTTCTTGATATCCATTTACATTTCTTTTTAAGGCTCATTTATATCTCTGTGTGTTTTGAGCATGCTTCCCCTTCACTTCTTCTCCTGAAATACTCATACCTGCTGCATTTCTGCTGTTAAGAGCTCAGTTTACTGAGCCCAAATACTAACACGGTACCGCTATGATATCGCTGAACTTGTATAATAAATTATGGCAGACGCACCATTATTATTCCTCATTTACAGATGAAGAAACAACGGCACGAAAAGGTAGGTTCCTTGTTCAAAGTTACACAGCAGTCAAGATTTGAATTTGATAATCTAATAGAGATGGGAGGCTTAACTATCAAGCTGAGCTAATTGTCATCTCCCTGGTCCTGCTCTTTTCTTTCTTTTCCTTAAGCACCAACTTTGTAAGACTTTACATATGGTATTTACTGTAAGCCTTGCGGTGACCTTCAGAGGTAGCACTTCAAATCTCTACTGTAAGCCTTGCAGTGACCTTCAGAGGTAGCACTTCAAATCTCTATTTTACAGATTTAAAAACATTCAAAGCACTAAGGTTGAAAATGTTGGTTAACTTGCCCTAGATTGCGCAGCTAGGAAGTGGTAATGACGCCTGTATTAGAAACCTTATCTACCGCCACAGCTATGAGTCTTTCTACCTAAAAGACAATCAGCATAGAATTTCTTCCAGGGCTGTTTGTGTTGAAATAAAATTTCAGGCATCTGAGGAAGTTATTTGGAAAAATGGTTTGGGGTGAAGACTCATCAAGTGACACTACAAAGAGGCCACTGTTCCTGTTCGTGTGAGGCTGGTGCTGGGCATATGGAGTCTAAGCAATGAGGAATTGGGCCAACGACTACCTCTGCTTTCTCCCGTGCACATTGCCCAGTCACCACTGTCTGCTTGACATATGCTGATGGCTATCTATACTTGGCGTTTTACGTCTAATTGCCTGGCTAATTTATAACATCACTATATCACCACTAAACTCATTTTGAAATCCTCTAAATTTGGTTCTTCTTCAATTTGACCTAGACAGTTCGAATAAGGTGGCTCATTGACTACAATACCATTAGTCTTAAGAAATTGCTGCAGGGAAGGAAGTTTTTAAATGTATCTTTGGAATTCATTCCAGAATATGATTTACCTAATTAGGTTTTACAAAAATAGTTTGAGAAAATAAATGTACAAGAAGAGAACCCAGAAGTGAGCTGGAAGACAAGAGAGAGCCAGGTAGTGTAGATATCATGGAAACAGTGTGAGATTCACACATACTTTGTACATGTTTTTCAAAATCTTGAGATTGCATTACTCCTTTTCTAGTCAATTGTAACTTTCTGGGGCCTCCTTTTTCTTATTTTTAAAAATCAAGACAATGAGCCTGTTGATTTCTTACTTATTCCTGCAAGACATTTTTTCCTTTCTATACTATAATATACTGTGCCTACATATTTTGAGGTTTTGAAATATATAGAACTGTGGTTTCATCATTTCATTCATTCATCTGATATTCATTTCATAAATATTTATTGAGAATCTACTAAGTGACAGACACTGTGCTGGTTTGGAGAATGAAGAAGACACAGTCCCTTCTCTCAAAGAGATCTGTACATAGAATTGAATAACACTGTAACGATGTCTAACAAAAATCTCATGGTGACAGACTTCCTGGAGATGACAGATCACAATTGCTTTTGCTTTTATTACAAAATATACAAAAGTTGACTTTACTTCACAAGCCAACAAGTACAAGTCTCCTCTCCAGCAGTGTCCTTACCTTTTGTGTGACTCCCTTGGAACCAGGAAGGTTTTTATTTTTCTTTTTTTCTTCTTCTGCCTTTTTTTTGGGTACATAAATGAATAATACAGGAGACAACCCATAGCCAGTTTGTATTCCCTGCTGTCCTTCCAAAGCTTCATAGCCCAAAATAAAGGTGCTGCGGAGGTGGAGAACCCAATTTCCATTCTAAGTTTCACACAGTGGGTTTCAGTCAATTAAAATTTCTGTTCCTAAGATACAGTTGCTTATGGAGGCAAGTTGCACCCACATTTTTGGAAACAATGATCTTGGTCTAGAGGAAATTTTCTTCCCCCAATACCTGTTGAGACCTCAGGGATTCTGTTCAATTGCTGAAGGAATGTCATAAAGCCAGCTTTATGTCCTTTCCCAGGCATCAACTTCTCTGTTACCTGGGTTTTGACTGTAAGCAACACAACAAACATCTTGGGTGAGGTGGGGGCAAGGGAGTGGACAACATGTTTCTTGTTCTTTTTATCCTTACTAATACATTGGAACTAGGCCATCTGGCTGCCTTTTGAGTAAATCCATTTTATAACAAGATTTTTTTTTATTTTTTTGGTGATTCAGTAATTAAACCCCTTTGGATAGGGTTCAAGATGGACCTGCCTTATGCTGAATTTTGCTTTGGAGCAAATTGTTAGTCACAGGTGCCAGTGAATATATAAAAGAGAGTGAAAAATCTCTAATTACTTTTTGAAAATTGTTCATTTCTCAGAGTTTCCTTTGACTTTAGGTCCACTTTTCTTCAGAGGTGAGTAAGGCAAAAATGTGCTCAGAATTGCCATCTGGTCTAGCATTCTATCTTTACCTAAAATCAAACCTCCTAAGGTTGAAATGTTGACAGTAAGAATCCTTATGTTGTTACTCATGACCAAAGTATAGTCAAACACCTCCATAGATTCATTCATTCATTTATTCAGTAAATATCTACTACATGCTAAGTTGAGGGTTCAGAAGTCACCAGAGAAGCTCGTGAGTTCAGCATCATCGTAACATGATTAATTAGAGACTTAATATTTCTTTTTGTCATTGTTATGCTGGGGCTTCAAACACTAAATGTGGCTTGTTTTATCATTATCTTTGAGATATTCTTCTAAGAATAATTCACCTATTTTGGGCAACTTGCCTTTCTATCCCTTAACTCAAAAAAGTATAAATCAATACAAAAATGTGGTTAAAAATCAAGTAATTGGTCATGTTGTTCTTGCAATGTTATGGGAAAAATTTTAGCTTCCAGCCTAGTGGTGCTTCCAACTTATTTTGCCATGAATCATGGAAAGTTAATAGTCAGTTTGGGAATTTTTGTCTGGTCACGAATTTATATGAAACTTTCTCTGTAAAAACATCATCGATTTGGACTCCCACTCTTAAAAAATATTTTTAAAAGAATTTATATTTTTAGGGCATTTTAAGTTCACTACAAAATGAAGCGAAAAGTATAGAGATTTCTCATATATTCCCTGTCCCAACACAAGCATGGCCTTCCCCTCTGTCAACAGCCCCACTGGAGTGGTACATATGTTACATGTGATGAACCTACATTGACACATGACTGACACACAAGGTCTATAATTTACACTAGGGTTCGCTCTTGGTGTTGTACATTCTGTGGGTCTTAACAAATGTATTATGATATGTATCCATCATTATAGTATCACAGAGTTTTTTGGCCCTGCCTGAAAATCCACTATGCTCTGCCTATTTACTCCCCTAACCCCTGGAAACCACTGATATTGCTTGCGTTTCCACAGTTTTGTCTTTTTCAGAATGTCACATAGTTGGAATTACATAACATGTAATATTGTATATTGGAATATATAGTATCAGAATTATATAATACGTAGGCTTCAGATTAACTTTTTCATTAGTAATGTACATTTTTCTCCATGGCTTTTCATGGCTTGATAACTCATTTCATTTTATCACTCGACAATATTCTATCATCTGAATATACCAAAGTTTGTTTTCACATTCACCTTCTGAAGGATATCTTGGTTGCTCTTAAGTTTTGGCCATTATGAATAAAGCTGCTATAGACATCATTGTGCAGGTTTCTGTGTGGACATACAACTGTTTTAGGTAAATACAAATGAGCACAGTAGCTGAAGTATTTGGTAAGAGTATGTTTAGTCTTGTAAGCAGCAGCCAGACTATCTTCCAAAGTGGCTGAACCATTTTGCTTTCCCACAAACAGTAAATGTGAGTTCTTGTTGCCCCACATCCTCACCAGCATTTGGTGTTGTCATTCTGGATTTTGTCCATTCTAATAAGCATATAGTGGTGTCTCATTGCTGTTCTCTTTTACATTTCTCTGGTAACATATAATGTGGATCACCTTTACATATGTTATTTGCCTTCTTCTTTGATGAGGTGTCTTCTAAGATCATTAGCTCATTTTGAATAAATTTCTTTTCTTATTGTTGAGTTTTAAGATTTCTTTGTATATTTTGGACAACAGGTTTTTGTTAGATGTGTCTTTTACAAATATTTTCTTTCTGTGGCTTTTATTCTCATTCTTTTACATTGCCTTTCACAAAGTAGATTTAAAAAAATTAATAAAGTTCAGCTTATCAATTATTTTTTTCATAGATGTTGCCATGGGGTTTTATCTAAAAAGTCATTGTCATGTTCAAAGTTGTCTAGGTTTACTCCTATGTTATCTTCTAGGAATTTTATAATTTTGTATTTTACATTTAAGTCTATGTTCAGTTTGAGTTAATTTTTGGTGAAAGATATAAAGTCTATGTCTATATTCACTTTTTGTATGTGGATGTTCAGTTGTGCCAGCACTGTTTGTTCAAAACACTATCTTTATTATATTAACTTTGCTCCTTTGTCAAAGATCAGTTAACTGTATTTATGTGAGTCAATTTCTAGTCTCTGTATTCCATATCTTTGATTTATTTGTCTATTCATTCACCAATATCACACTATTGATTACTGTAGCTTTACAGTAATTCTTGAAGTCTGGTAGTGTCAGTTCTTCAACTTTGTTTTTCTCCTTCAGTATTGATGGACTATTCTGAATCTTTTGCCTCTTCATGTAAACTTTGGAATCAGTTTGTTGGTATCTGCAAACAACTTGCTAGAATTTTGATTGGGATTGCATTGAAGCTATAGATAAAGTTGGGAGACTTTCTAGTTCTTTTCGTGTCTTCATTCTTTCTCCCTTCTATTGACTTTCTAATTGGTCAGATGAACCATCTCTCAACACCTAAGTGTTTTCTTAGCCATGATCTAGTTACAATGTCATTAATGTCAACAGCACTGAGGGCTTCTTTGACTAGAAAAGCAACCCCCTATGTCAGTTAATTGGGTAACAATTCATTTTTATATCAAGCTAAATTGTTTGAATCTTTTAAATTGATAATGAGCTTGGAACTTCTTCTCAGGCACAAGAATAGCTTGCTTTGGGAGGAGTAGGCTATTTGCATTCTGGCATTGTCCTTGCTTGGGCATAGATATGCTTTCTTTTTTGAGCTTGTATGAATGGTTACTGCAGGCTAGCCTCTTTTAGTGGAGATGAAATGCTCTCACATTCCTGGGAATTCACCAGATGGTACCAGACGTCAGAATGTAAGTGCTGACTTTCACCTCTTTAGTGGATGCTGTGTTGACTGACATAAACCACATCTCCATGATGAAATAGCTGACGTTTGACTCTGCAAAGACTAATTGACTCCGCAAAGACTAATAGGATAACTTAATGGATTTGGGGCATAAGACTCATTGTTTGAGTTACATTTGGGATCACACTTGGGCAGATGTTTTTTCCTGTTCTCACTGAAGTTTTAAAAGCTGCTTATATGATTATAATTTATTTCAAAATTTCCTGCAAGCAATCTTTGTTGTGAGATTTTTAAGGCATCTTTGGATATACCTTTAAAATATTTTATCTCATTTCACACTGTCTTAAATTTGACTTTATAGTATATAATGTTTTCTCTAAAATTATACCATTGTGTACTTTTGAGAAGCAGACAGATGGGGTGAAGATTATGGATTATCAGAAGAATTCTTGTTGAATAGAATTTTGGAGACTCTTAGTCTGTTGGCAGAAAAAAAAAAGCTTTCTGCCATTTATTAGCAGAAACTGAGTAAAAAGACAAATATTTCTTTGGTTTTCCTCCTGTGTTAAACTTTTTGTAGGGGTAAAATAAGTTAGTTTTTTATAAATGTATTAGTCAACTAGGGTTGGCATAACAAAATATTCTGGACTTGGTGGCTTAAACCACAAAATTGTATTGCTCATAGTTTGAGGCTGGACGTCTGAGATTAGGGCACTAGCATGATTGGTTTCTAGTGAAGCCTTTCTTCCTGGCTTTTAGATAACTGCCTTTTAGATGCTGACTGTATCCTCATATGGTGAAAGAGAGAGCTCTGGTCTAGCTTTCTCTTCTTATAAGGACACTAATCCCATCACAGGTCCCCACCCTCATGCCTCATCTAAATCTAATTACCTCCCAAAGGGTCCCTCTCCAAATACCATTACATTTGGTTTTAGGACTTTGAGACATAAATTTTTTCAATCCATAATACTATGTTCAATCCATAATAATAAATGAGAGCTTCTCTCATACTGAATATGAATGTGCAATATTTCAGTGGGTTTCCTCGTTGTTGGAAGAGAAAAATCATGAGACATGCATTCGTTCAATGTTATATCAAATCTCCTCTTTGAGGTTTATTTAGACTTTTTCTTAGTAACTGGCCATTTTCTACTTTTCATTGGGATGACATGGCTAAAGCAAGAAGCTTTTTTTTCTTCACCTCAATCATAGATCCCTATCAAATTTCTCTTTTACTGTTTTTCTTTTAAACAAAATGTAAAATATTATATTTTATAAATGGGCTAAGAAAGAAACTATTGCCTATCCTTTCAGTACAAAAGAAGGGAAATAATATAGTATTGAGATTCTGCATAACAGTATCTAGTATAAAAGTATTTCAGAAACACAAAAGTTAGGAGAGAAAAAAGGTCGCAACAAGCAGGCAGGTGGTTGTCCAAGAAAAGGAACTTTATAATGGATGATATGCATTTCTGAACACTTGAGTTACTGCATAAACACATCCTTAATATGGCCCTAACAAACAGCAGGGTATGACTTAATGATCAAATAATAAATAATGACAAAAAAATTAAGCTACAGGTGTTACATGGTGAAGCCCTGAACCATGGAGCAGAGTTTAGCCAAGTAATTTTAGCCCTTCTGCAGGATTTTTAAATCTCTCAAATGAATTCACATCTTTCTATGAAAAAGAAATGTTATTTAAAAATATATACTATTCATTTGTATTTTACCTGTTATATTAAACATTATTTCTAGTTGGTTAATAATCATCCATTTAATTATTTTTAACAAACCTTCACCGAG